TGATATAAGATTTAATTAAACCACGCCAACCTATTCAGAAAAAAGAAACAAATTTAAATGATGATAGAATAATATTATATTAGATAAACCGTGCATATACCTTGTGTAGTTTGAGTGGCAACTCTTGTAATATTATTACCAAAAAAAAACATGATAAAATCGTTTATTCGAGTGATATATATGGAGAAAGTGAAACATGTGAGAAGGAAAGAAAAACAAAGTTTGTCGTTCGGCGAAGTCGATGAGTGCAAATATTTACATCAATAAGAACGACACCATACATGTGGTAGTTTTTCCTTTTCTCTTCCCGATGATGAGATTATTTCTTATTTATAAATGAAATGGAATATTTTTCTACCGCTCTGTAAAAAAAATATTTTCGATTTTAACAACGATGATCAGTGCATTCTATCATACATAAATAAATTCTCGCCATTACTACTATCAAACTGGTCGAGATACGAGATGTTTTCTAAAAATAGTGCTTAAATTTAAGATTAGATAACTTTGATAAAATATTCGATAGTTGAAGGGTGTGGATATATTATATTTATCTTAAACCTGCACACTCACACCTTCTTCTGTTATAAGTAATTTCTAATATAGATTTCATCAGATCTTGGATAATATAATCTGATATTTACTATGAATTTATATTTTTATTTTGTTCGTAATTATGAAAATTAAAATTATAATAATGAAAAAGATTGTTATGAATAGTAATACTAATCAAAATGATATTTAAATGGAAATTTCTTTTTCGAAGATTTTTCTGGTAAATGAATTTCATTTAAAGATAAATGATATTTATTAAATAATTCACGAGCAATTGTAATTGAATCACCTGAAAATATAAAACATTTCTTTTTTTAAATTGAATTAATACAAAAAAAAATGATAAACCTTGTGTAGTTGTTGGATAAACTTTTGTGTCTAACATAAAGAATGGTAATTCAGCTTCTAGAAATAACCGTTCATTCAAAACCTTCTGATTCACTGGATGACCCTAAAATGATTTTGAATTTGTAAAGAAAAACACACACAATGTAATTCATACTTCAACAAGACATTTCAGTAAAATATCAAAGAAAACATACCATCGTGGTGCATAATAACTTTATAAAACAAACAACAATTATATATTATTTATTTATTTATATCTTGTTTATACATACTCTCGAATCATTCCTGACCAAAACTTATTTGCATAATCATATAATTCTAGAGTATAATTATTTCCCCAGATCGATACTTGAAGTTTGGCGTTAAAATTATAAAAATGTATATCTTCTTCATTTTGAGCAAATTGTAATGCGTCATTAACCCAATTTCCTAACAGAAATCGACGATCAGAAGCTAATACTAATTCAGTATCAGCTAATATATCAACAAGAATAGCTGCTTGAGTACTACAATTATATTAATTCATAAGTATAAATAAATATAGGAAAGAAAAGTAGAACAAACCTAACTCCGTAAAGATCTTTGTTATTGAAAGCAGATATTAATTTAGTATAAACATCATAAAATTTATACTGAAGAACTTCTTTAGTTATATCGACTAAATCATATCGAAATAAATCTGAGTGAACTTCATATGATGCATCAACTAATAGTTCCCATGCTGAAAACAATGATTTTAGATCAAAATTAATCTATAAAATATGTTTTGTGTTATTAAGAAAATTGATTCAATTCATAAATCTTACATCTTGTTCACCATCAAGTTCAGGTCGAGATAACATAACTGATGAATCACCATTAGGATTCTTTCCATAAACGGAATCACCTAGTAATTGCCATGCATATAGTGCTGAACTAGGTACTGGATGATCACTCTCATAACGACGCATAACAAATCCGACAAGCCTAAGAAAAAGAAATCTTTTTTTTTATATAAGAATAATAAAATTAAAAGTTTTACCAATCACTTAATTCTGTATCATTCAGTGCACTACGCCATGATTGTTCAAGAGCAAATTCATACATTATTTCATTTTGATTAATGCCTTCCATAGTAATACCAACACCAATCATTTGATTACCTGAAAAATCACGTGCTGTTTGTGGACCCTAAATAATTATATACAGAAATATTTGCAATAATTAAAGAATAATATATTTGATTTACTTTAGTAACATTAACAAGTGAACCAAAGAGAAAATTATTTCCACCAAAGTCATGTAACATATTCCATATGTAATAATGACCGTAAAAGGATTCAAAACGTGAGTATTGTGGAGCTGCTTCAGAAAATAGATCGAGAAGAATTAGATGACCCTAAAATTAAAATATTAAATGTAAATTTGAATAGCAAAATTAAAATTTTCTTACTATAGGAACTTTACTAAGATAACTTTGAACTCGATCAGGTTTCCAAAAATCTGAAAGGAATAACCAAGCTTGCATAACCCTTCATTCAAAAAATAAAATTAATCGGTATTTCATTTATAAAAATAGATCATACCAAACAGCATTTGGATCAACTGTTTTCATTGCTTGAAAAATACCTGCATTCACATCAGCCAAATATTCTAGATCACTAAATTAAATAGTTTTATCGTATTTATTATATTAATAAACTCAAATATACCTAGTTGGTGGTGTCATCTCATTAAATAAGTCACAAGCATAAAAATGAGATGTTAAGTTAAGTAGAGTGACTGTCTATTAGAAAAGTTTTTAGATAATAGATTTTTTTGTGAAATTGACATACTTCATTTAATAGTTCAACTCCAACTTTTTGAAAGAATGAATCAGTTGGATCCAGATATGGTAAACTAAAACATATAATTAGTTTTATCTATATGTATTTATTTTTCTAGAAAAAAGACAAACCATGATTCATTACATCCAAAACCAACCCAATCCGATGAATTATGAAACTGAGCTGAAGGAAAACGTCTAAAAATTGGTGCTCAGATTTTTTTTATGTCATTTGTCATTATTTTTTTCAGCTTACGATGGTGCCGTACGTGGCATAAAGCCAGTAAAAGCAGGTAAAACTGGTATAATACCAATATCAGTCATTCTTTGAATGATCTGTTTAGCAAGTTGAAATTGTGTTTGATGCCAACGATTCGATAAAGGACCACCATGTTTTTGAAGATTACCCATACGAAACCTTTTTTTTAATTTTATACACATGAATTTAATTCAACAAATGTGATGTTATTTACCAAGCTAAAAATGCAGGACCAGTAAAATAATCATCAAGTTCTGATTGAGGAAAACCCATTCGTAGAAATACCTAAATAAAAGAAAATAAGAATTTATCTATTGGTTTGAAAAACAAAAAAGACTTTATTATAAATATATTCCATTCCAGTTGTTGCATAAACTAAATTAATACCATTCATAGCCATCCAATCGATTTCTTTTTCCCATCTTTATATTCACAAGAGAAGAAAAGAAACATGAAATAGAAAAATTGTTTTTATTTTTACCTTGAGAAATTCCAAAATACAGCTGAATAACTAAATGTACATGGATTTCCATACCAACGATACAAATCATTAGCAACTATTCGAATTGGTTCATGTATTGGAAATAATGTTGAATTAGATAATCGAATGTTTTTTCCAGACCAATAAACTAAAGAAAGTTCAATTCAATTGCATTCAATCGTTTATTATTTTATACCTGAACTATCTGCTACATATTTCAAATAATAATTAAAACCCCAAGCAGCAGCCACACCAGTTGATGCAGAAATTTGTATTGAACCTGATGTTGATCCATTAGAAAGTACAAAAACATCTTTACC